ACACACAGAATAAGCTTTTTTTTTTCTCCTTTTTTTTTAAAATTGCTGACCAGCAGAAAAATGTGAAACCATTTCCCTGCAGGTCTGGAAAAGTTTGTGCTGGTGAGGTTGGAGGGTTTGGGGGTTTGTTTCAGATGAGATCCAGGATATCTTTTTCTCCTCTTTTTTTTTAAAAAGGCTTTACTCCCTCAAGAAAAAACAAAGATTTACAAACAAAATAACAGCCTGTATCAACTCTCCAGAAGAGAGATGGTATGACAATATTAATCCAAACATCACGCTATTTAATTCCCCAATAAAACATTGGAAAAAAAGGAGCCAACAGTATCTGCACTAACACTTTGCTACATATAAAATCTCCAGCTAATATGAAGCTTATGGTACCAACCTCTAAAACAGTTAAGATATATACACATAGTTGTTTTTTTTGGGGGGGTATATTAACAAACAGAATATTACAAAATATTAAAGAAGGCAACTCTTCTGTCATTTGTTTCGGGGTGTGGATTTTTGTTCCTGCTTTTCTTCACTTGAAGTTGGCATAGTCTGAGAAGGCGTCGATGTACTCCTGCACCACCTTGTAGCAGAATTCGTACTGTTCCTGCAGGATTTGGGGAGAGAACACTGTTAGTCCAGGAAAATCTACACCTGAGAGATCATTTGGGACCAAACATGGTCAGGTGTCCTCAGGCCAGAGTAGGAGCAGGTCCCACCTTCTTTGTGGCCTCCAAAAACTCACCCTCCTTGTTGGGGTGCCAACAGCAGAACAAACTGCTTTCTGCTTCCTCTCCGAAGTCCTATTTTGACCTCCAGAGTTTTTTTTAAATCCCTGAGCATCCCTGCAAACCCATCACAATCCCACCACAAACCTCATCCAGCCCTGCCTGCTCCAACCCTCCCTGCATGCCCAAGCCTGTGCCACAGACACTCCAGGTTCCTGGAGCCCACAAATCCATGGGCGAGGCTGAGGATATCTCCAAGGAGGCTCCTACAGTTTGTTAGTGCTCAAAAGGCACTCGATGTCTTCAGCACCTCTTCCAGATGTCCCAACAAGTGGAAGGGGAGATACCTCCTGGCCCACTTCCACAGAATCACAGAATGGTTTGGGTTGGAAGGGACCTTAAAGACCACCTAATCCCTCTCCTGCCATGGGCAGGGACACCTTCCACTAGACCAGGCTGCTCCAAGCCCCATCCAACCTGGCCTGGAGCACCTTTAGGGATGGGGAGTCCACACCTTCCCTCACTCTTTCATGGAGAGAGAAAACCTTCAATCAAAGAGGTTTTTACTCAACAGAGTCCCCAGCCCGTTCTTGCCAAGGTTTTGGGGTGGCAGGAGGAGTATGGGGTGTACTCAGCTGCACTTACCAGTGTCTGCACCATATGTGGCCTCTGTAGTCTTAAACTCTTCACTGTCTGAAAGACATCGAGGATCCCTTCTGCCTTCACCCTCTCCAGGACAGTGCTCAGTGCACAGAAGGTGCCTGTTCTTCCAGCTCCAGCACTGGGAAAGAGAAACCAGAAGGTGAAGGAAAATGCCCATCCTGACCCTGTTGGCTTTGCTCAGGGAACAATCCATAGGGGCAGTGCTGGAGAACTGGAGGAGTCAAAGGTCCTGCCCCAGCCTCTCCCAGTATATCCAGGATGTGCTTTGGGACCTCTGACCATCTCCCAGGCTCCTGGTAGAGCAGAACCCTCTGGATGGGTGGATAACCTGCTCCAGCCAGGCTTTACCTGCAGTGCACAGTGATGGGGTGGTTGCCAGACTGCTGCTGCTGCTTCTGCACTGCCGCGATGATGTTGATCATTCCCTTCCCATCCCCAGGGATCCCAACTTCTGGCCAGCCGTGGAAATGAAACTGCCGAATCTGTCGGCTCTTGTTTTCCTGGTGGAAGAGCACAGCTCGTGGTCAGCTTGGAGGGAGACCCGCATCAAAGAACCCACCAGCTCTGGGCTTTGGAAAAACCATCTATGTAGGAAAGCTGCTTGTGGAGGGGTGGTATTCCCGTGGTATGGAGCAGGGCAGATGTGAGGAACAGGGAGCAGGAGGGAGGCTGGGTGCTGGGCACAGGGACAAGGTGGAGGAGAGTGATGGGTGTTGGGTGGCAGCAGGGCAGAGGGGCAGGATGAGAACTGAGCAGCAGGATGGGAACTCCAGGGCTGGGAGGCAGGGATACAGTCCCTTTGGGGTGATGGAGCTGAAGACGCCAGAGGGAAA